TTAACAATTTTTTTATTATTAATTAGTGTCGAAAGTCTTTGAAGCATTATTATTTTTTTAAAAAGTTTTTTTTTTTTGTTAATATTGATAGATTTTTTAATAAAAATAATGTAAAGTGTAAAAAAATAATAAAAAATCAATTAAAATTGTATGATGGTATATAAGTATTCGATCTTGTTTTTATGCAATACCTAGTTTGAAGAAATCTATTTTTTTGAAAGAATTGATTCCTGTACATTTCCATCGGAAAAGGAAAGTAGTTATTTATTTTGAAGATATTTACTGTGTTCTTAAAGAGCTTGAAGTACGTACGTATTATTAATTTTAATACAACTTTTCGGTTAAATCATGTGAACTAAGGGTCTTAAAATTGTGACGTACGTACGTCATACAGCTTTGAAAATGGAATTTTTTTTTGAACATATAAATTAGCCAATCCCACCGAAAACCAGATTTGTACAATAGCCTTTTACTGAACCAGCAAATAATATAAAATTAGACGTTGCATGGGCTATCCATGGAGCATCCATGGATTGGTACCAAGGCCGTGAATAGTCTATATGTAATCTGATTGGACAAAATTATAACTGCCATCGTAGTTATCATTTTGACGCCATAATTACGCATTCGAGCTTACTTTAATAAATAAGCTTTTTACAGTTTATGCAATTTGAATCCATGGATTGTACTATGTGGTCATGGGTTGGGGTTGGGTCTGTTCATTCAAATATGGGCTGGATTTGGATTTCAACCAGCCCGGCCATGCGGAACCCCACCCGGAGATCTTGACATAAAGTATTAGCTCTCTATATGAATAAGAAATTCATGTTATTTGGTAATCCAGTGATTATAAACGAATGCCTTTTATATCCGATTCATCTTGGAGAATAAGAATCATTAAACTATTTGATAGACCTCAATATTATGCGATCTGCCACTGCTATATTACCCCCTTTACCTTATAAAAGCCAAAATTTTATTAAATAAATCAATATAGTATATTAAGTTATTCAGAAAATCAAAATATAAATATTCTAAAAGTTTGATATGAATTAAGTAACTTTTTATTAATATATTTTTATTTTTTATGTCTCACAAAATATTGAGAACCAGGTTTTAAATTTTTGTTCGGATCCAAACCAGATTTAACTTAGGTTGGAATTTATTATATAAAAACCTGGTTCTTAGGTTTTTAATTGGAACCTAAAGGTTTTAGAACCTAAAACAACCCTAATTTTACCATCTCTAATTATGGATAGCCTAAAATCATAGCAAAATGGTAATATATAAAGGTATTGAGATAATTATATAAAATAAATAAAATCATATTATAAACCTGTTTTATATAATTACTTACCAGCAAGTAGTGCTTTTTCAGCAAAATATTTGACATCATTATCTGGATCATCCCGTAATTTATCTAATGCTGGTTTTACTTGAGTTTCCAACAACACAGCCGTTTCAGCGCATTGTTTGAGAACTGGTATTAAAACTTCGTATGATTTAGCAACATTAAACCGAATATTGGGAATAGGATCCGAGACAAGATTGTTTACTGTTGGAAGAATGTGGTCTCTGATGACTTCCGGAGTGACAGCTGGTGCCATGGTCTAACGTTAAGGAATGTATATAACAATTTGCTAATTTAGAATCAAAAATTTTCCTAACAAATTACAAATTGTAATACTGACCGTGATAGCAAAAATTGTCGTCATTCTATATAAATAATTTTGATTAGTACCCATTTCCAGTACTTTTGGTATAATTGTGGTCTTTGCCCATTCGACACCAAAGACTTCTGTCAATTTTTTCAAATTTATGGTAGCAGCTTCACGAATAGAATATACGTTATCTCCTAACCAGGACATGCAAAGGCTTCCAAGTTTTTCATCAAAGAATGCCACACCCAACTGACTAGCAAGCAGAGGAATGTAATCAATGATTGCAAGCCGAACACGCCATTGCTTATCTTCTGCCAATTCAACTATTGCCGGAAGTAGATTTTGTGACAAAAGCTCAATGCCGATGACTGTTTATTATTAAAGATATTAAATAAAAACAAATAATAACAAAGTAAAATGAAATAAAATAAAATAATGCCTTAAGAATAAATGTAACTTAAGTGAAAATTTTGATGACGAAAAATTACCTTCGTTAACCTGCTCCAATTTGGATATAATATTCAGCCTTACATCAGGGAACTCATCTTTGAGAAGTTGCAGAAACAGAGGCAGCAAATGTTCTGTCGTTCTAAATAATGAAAATAACATTAGCAATGTATGAACAAAAGCTTTCAGTTTTAATATGGAAATAGAACATACGCTTCTTTGCCCAAAATAGGTGCCAGCCCACTAATTTGGGTTGCTAAACTTGCACGAACGTGCTGTGATGTATCGGTTACCAAATCTTTGACACACGGCAATATATGCGACAAAATCGTTTGTTTATCGATATATTGAGCGAATCCTAAAAGGTTTGATTATTAGAAATTATCATGATAACGTGTCTAAAATAAAAAAATTCGTATTATAAATTCGTATTTACCTGGAACCTGACCAGAAGCAGCAGTTCTTACTTCGGCTTCATTATCTTTAAGCAAATTAACAAAGGCCATCACTAAGTTTTCACGCGTTACTTCATCTCCTACAGCTTTAGCAATCTATTATGTGAATAATATTAAGAACATAATTTCGTATGCATAAAAAAAAAAAAAAAAAACCAATTTGCAACATATTGCATATAAATAAATAACAACCTTGACAAAATTTTCAGCAATCATATATCTAACTCTCCAACTCTTATCTGAGACCATGCTTCTCAGAGTTTGTAAGAGATAATTCTTGCACTCCTCCTTAGAGAGCACCTCAGCAATTGCGACAAGATCCTCTACCGTTAGCAAACGAACGGAATCCTGTTCATCTTCCGCAAGTTTACTAAATAATGGGATAATATCTAAAATTACATGTTCTTTAGGAATCTTTTTTGCAAATTTCTACATGTACCATAGCACAAAAGTTATTTCTAATTATTCTAAAATACAATAAATTAAAAAAAAAAGGTCCAAAATCTTACTCCTAGGTTAGCTGCTGCTGCCCTTCGAACCATCGGTGTGTCATCTTGAGCTAATGCTTTGAACATCAATCGCAGCTCTTCCTGTGAACTTGGTGTTGCACTTTGGTATCCAGCCGCGTATAAACCGCAAGCGCTAGTACGACTTGTAAACCAATCACCAGTGCCCAAACGTTTAATAAGTGGTATGTAGTATTCTTCAATTTGTTGCTGAGAAAGGACCACCGCTATTTTTGTTAGAGATTCAACGGCCTAAAATTTATTGTTGCCAAATCATTTAATAAAGTTAATACAGTCGCGATAGAGAGTGAATTATACGAGCCTATGCATACTTTTTCTCTAACAAGAGTTTCCTCAACCGCTGCAAGATTTTCCAAAGGTCCTAGTATAATATGCGCATGCTCTTTGCCACCAACATATTCACAGAAATTACCAAGCTCTTCAGCTAATGCCAGTAATACTTCATCTTCATCATCGATTGATTCTAAAGTAGAAATTTTTTTTTAAAAAGAAAAGGATCACTAAAAAATAATCAATATATTCTAAATGTAAAACATTAAATATATTTTAAAGATGATCGTTAATAAATAAAGATTTCGCGATGCCCCGCAATTACTCTGAAGAGAAAATCTTTATGCTTAGTCTTTAGAAGCGATTACCCTGGGCACAATAAAAACCGTATCGCGTACCACGAAAGAGTTGGTCATTACTAACCGTCAAGAAAAGGTATAAGTTCATCTCTAGTTCTTTGAACTCCCAAAGCCAAGGCAATGGTCGAAAGTCGTCTGATGGCGTTTAATCGAAAGTTGACATCATCAGCTCTTAATTCATCCAATAACACCGCAATTGGGTATAGACTATCCTCAGTCTCTTCCATATTCATCGTCGTATAATATAAAAGAATTGAAAGTTGTAATAAACGTTTTATAGGTAAATTACGAAAGTTGTGTTAAAATGATGACCGAAACTTTTTCTAAATTCGATAAGAAATCACAAAAGTTAAAATAGTTTATAATCACAAACTTGAATTTGGTTGGTCCCAGTTTTATCACCAAAAATCAAAAAATTGTAATTATTGCACAAATTTGACTTTATTACAAGTGAATATTTTATTATCTGTTATATAAAGATTTAGTAAAATAAATTGTCATTATCTGTTACGTATCTGTTATCGTTATAAAAAGAATTTAAATGCAGAAATTTGATTACAGTATAAGCTTATATAGAGAATATTAAAATATTTACCAAGTATATATAAATACACCTAAAAAAAGAAAAACTATTGCATTGAATCATATACAGTATATCTTTATATAATACAAAGTAGGTTTCTTATTACAATTTATCTTTATTTTATGTATATATATATATATACAGTATTTAACTCTTACTGTTTTAACACATACAGATATTTAGATTCTTCCTCTCCAAAGCTTTGTATACTTTCTAGCTCTAGGTTTGATTTTAGTGAAATAATATAACAATCCGAAAGCTACACCACCGAGATGACCTGCACTATCTATTTTACCATGTGATACATTCCAAGCTCTATAAATGTCATAAAGAGCGTATAAACCTACAACCACAATTGCAGGTGCAGGAATTACAAAAAATACAAGAAATGTTGCATTTGGAAAGGTACAAGCAAATATTGTAGATAATGCCATTAAGCTTCCTGATAAACGAGATAATTCATAGTTATGACGTGATATGAGAATAGAGAATAATGAGGATACTATTTGATTTACCTGAAGCGCCCATGCTTCCAATGTAGTGTCTTCTATAAACTTTGTCATTATACGAGGCGGATGATTTTCTTTTACGAGTATAATTAGTGTATAATAGATAACTTAGGGAAGCTGATAAAGCGGATCCAAAATAAATGAACAAGAATTGTCTTCTACCCAACATTTCAAGAATCTTTAAAAATGAGAGTTACAAACATAAAATGAATCAAAGATTGTTAACCATGATTAAGAATAAATAAAAATTTTATACACACCTGTCTGCCAAATCCCCATAAAACGAACATATTCACAATCAAATGATCCAAATCCTTATGACTAAAAGCGCAAGTTACAACATTCCACCACCTCCCATCCTTCACGTTCTCAATACTGACAACAAAATTCCTTGATAGAAAATTCAAATAAGCAGGATTTCTGTATTCAATAGCATTCAT